AAATTTGATCTTACGAAGGCAGAATTTAAAATAAAATGGAAATTAGTCCTCCGATAGGTTGAATGTAACGAAAAAATTTAAAGTCAAGCTGCCGAACAGTTGAAAGTAGATTTTTATTATAATTTCACGGGAGTTTTTGGCCTCTATAATCATGCTTGCCGTACTTAGTTATATAAAGATGCATTTAAACTATTGCCTTATTGTCCCTGGGCATTTTCGCTGGGTGGTCTGACTATCTTTATCGACTCATTTCGTGACCTCTCTCGCCCTTCGTCATCGTTAGCACGTGACAACTTCGAGGATGAGGGTCTGATCTGCTGGCAGACCAAATCTTAGTCACCTCTACGTAGGGCACTCAGTTTGACCGTGTTCAAGTTTTGACAGCCAATACAAATTGCTTGAGTTCGGTTTATTTGCGGCTTTCAAATTTGAAATCGTTATCTGTGACAATCGACGGACATAAATCAAAACCCGAGGAGAAAGAAAATAGGTAAATTCGTAAGAATACGATGTATTTCCATTTATAGTAGCCTCAGACAATAGCCCTAGTAGCAATTTATATCTAATACGCAGCTAAGGGATCCCTATGCATGGATATTCAAATATCTGTTGGCGAGCTGCTTTGTCTGCAAAATATATATACATATATTGGATATGTATTTATAGAGATACTGGGCAGTCAGTGATAATGACGGATTTAGGTTTAAAGTAGATCACTTTGCTTAACGCAGACCCATTTATTATGTTTAATCCCCGTAAAAGACTAGTAAACTTAACTATGAACCCTTGGTTAGTAGAGGACCTTATTAAAAATAATAGTCTGCACACCGTCCTGGTTTACAATTCCGATACCTCGCAGAAATACTTACCTATTTACAAGTAACCTAGAGAACACGTTTACATCAGAAAGCTTACCGCCTAGATAATAAATGCCTATCAGAAATAGGTCACTGAGGAAGGGTCACACTACACTTCCTAAAATAGGCCACAATTCCGTCTTGGGCTTCTTAAAAACAGGCAGCCCACCCATCGACAACTGCACTTCAACTTCTTCGGACACCGGGATTGTATTATTCCGTAAAAGAAGGCGCAGTTCTCTTTGCAAGCCAACGTGAAAATACTTACCATTACCCACTAAAGCTACCTCCAATTTATAGGATGCCCCTAAGAGCATTCTTGGGTCGGTCAGTACTTACTTAATTGTACTTGATCCGATTAGCTCCTGTTGTTGGATGAATCGGCTTCACTGATATCACGGATAGCGGCGGCCCATTGACGGCAATCGGAAGCGAGGTTCTCGTAAATATGAACCAATTTTTTGTTCAGTGTCGCAATCCGTGAATGGTTACGAGGCCCATCCCTTCGACGTCCGACTTGACGGTGTTGAGTCATGTATTCCGTTGACCACCATGTCGGTTTCTCCAGTTTTCATTACAAGAGGCTGTAGTGGTCACTGCTGCCCGACGCCCTCCTAACCCTTGAGGCCACAGACGAGGCCACTCAGAGAATAGGACCTCGCGTGACCTTCACTGGTGGCGAACGCACGCACCGTGTCTCCCCCATTATGGCCTCAACCCACAGTGGCGTGAGCTCAATCCGTCTGGACACACATCAAGGCCGTGGCTGCCGCCAGACACACTGACACGCTACCTAATAATACGCCCACACCCTCGCCCTTGCGCGTTCCAACCAATTGCCTTCAAGGCTGCAGCCAACGGTATGTCGAATGTCTGCTCCCAGACAGTACTCTGGACCAAGCCCG